TATATTAGCTCTAGAATTAACATCATATATATTAGCTACTAGCAAACGTCATATATTAGCTCTAGAATTAACATCATATATATTAGCTCTGGAGCAAACGTCATATATTAGCTCTAGAATTAACATCATATATATTAGCTCTGGAGCTAACATCATATATATTAGCTTTGGAGCTAACATCATATATATTAGCTCTAGAATTAACATCATATATATTAGCTCTGGAGCAAACGTCATATATTAGCTCTAGAATTAACATAATATATATTAGCTCTGGAGCAAACGTCATATATTAGCTCTAGAATTAACATCATATATATTAGCTACTAGCAAACGTCATATATTAGCGCTAGAATTAACATCATATATATTAGCTCTGGAGCAAACGTCATATATTAGCTCTAGAATTAACATCATATATATTAGCTACTAGCAAACATCATATATTAGCTCTAGAATTAACATCATATATATTAGCTCTGGAGCAAATGTCATATATTAGCTCTAGAATTAACATCATATATATTAGCTCTGGAGCAAACGTCATATATTAGCTCTAGAATTAACATCATATATATTAGCTCTAGAATTAACATCATATATATTAGCTCTAGAATTAACATCATATATATTAGCTACTAGCAAACGTCATATATTAGCTCTAGAATTAACATCATATATATTAGCTCTGGAGCAAGCGTCATATATTAGCTCTAGAATTAACATCATATATTAGCCTACAGTCTTGTTTTACCTAGCTGAAATAATGGTTTATGAAATAAGGTATATTGTTCAAAGAGAGGGAAGGCCTTTAAAAAACAAGTCTTGGGGGCACAGGTCTGAATTATTGTGGATTTTCTTTAATCCACACAGGGTCGAAATAATAATTGCAGTCTCAGGTTTATACATACATTACTAAATTTGGTTGAATGGTCCTCAGTAAGTTGTTCTTCTATCACAGGGTTTTGTATCCATCAATAACTTCAGGCAGGATTCTGGTTAGATTGTTTACTTCTCTTCTCGGTTAAATTGGTCAAGGTCATTTAAATTAGTTGGTTAGTGGCTTTACAGCACAATTTATAAATTTGTCAAAAATGTTGGAGCTTCGGAATCAGAAACCAGTTCTGATGTGTGTTTGGGATCCCTGTCTGGGTAAAAAAAAAAAAATCCAAAATTGTGTCTGAGTTTCAATTTGACATGAAGTTCACACAGCATGATGCTACCACCACCATGCTGCCACACAATGTTCTTAGATTTTAAAGCTTCACCTTGACTCCTCTAAACACAGTTGTCTTTGACGCCAAACAGCTCAGGCTTTGACTCGTCCAATCATAAAACTGGCTCAAATCAACCATTAAAAGCCTAAAATTAATATGACATGACATTAATAAGAAATATTAATATTAATCATGATGGGTGTATGTAAACTTCTGATTGCACCAGTATCTGTGAGATTTTAAAGTTTATTGCGTGCAGCTCTCTTTCTTTCCTCTCTGTATGAAATAAGTTGCAGTATTATTGTTTTCTATATTTCAGTTTGAAAATGAGATCTTCTGTTAAAAGTTTTTAATCATAAAGTGTTTTTGTTCTTCCTACTCTTGCAATATATACAGCATTAAAGATTATTTGCTTAATTTTTCTCCTGATTTTTGTGAATAATTAATTAAACTTCTCTTTAAACATAATGCAAAAAAGATTTTATTTTTTTAAGTTTCCAACAATCTATAAGTTTGTTTTAGTTTTAAATGTTTTATCACTCAGTGGGAATCCTCTCAGTCAAACTGAAGTTTCCTGGCTCATAAAACATTTACACTTAATTTTAATTTAAAGTGTAAAACCAGATTATTTTTAAAAACTTTGTTTGTTTGATGTTTGTAGCGCAGTTTTTGTGTGTTTGCTGGTTTGTTATCAATGGGTTGATCAGAAAAACTAAAACATGAATTATGAGTTATGGATCTCTTAATAAGTTAAGATTTACTTAGTTGTTATTGTTATTATTATTAAAAATGAATAAAGTAGTAATTTGTTAGGATAAAATATTTTGTGGTTTTCCTGCCTGTTTAGGAGGTAAAAGCTTTCGTACCCGTTAAACAATCCGGTTGTTGTTTTATGTGAAGTTGCCACACCAACATCCAACATATACTGAGTTTTGTGTTTGTCTTTGTGCCTTTTTGACTTAACTGAGTTTAGTGTTTTCAGAATGTGTATTTATTGAAAATATGACATCATATAATGCTGATGTAACTGCTGCTTCTTAAAATATCCTCAAACAATAAATCAAATTGGAAACTTGTATGCTGTGTTTGTGTCTCATGGCTCAGATGAAAGGAAGCAGCGATATCATGAGGTGTACAAACATTTCTGCTTTGTTGTGGGAATCAGAAATTCCATCTGTCCATCCATACATGCTGTGAACATGATAACATGAAAAAAAAAGTGAGATACCAACTTCCATTTTGGTGTGTGGCTGCATTTAGATGTAAAAAAGTTCCCTATCAGAAATTGGGTTGCCACGTCCAAATCCAAGATGGCTGCCGCTATAACTATATGTATACTGGCCACCTCTATCCTTTGAGGAAACTATGCTTTCTACAAAGTAGTTTTGATACTGCTTAAAGCAGGGCTATTCAACTGGTGGCCTGTGAGCCAAACTTCAATCCGGCTTTCTGGGTTTTGGTTCTGCTTATTGCATTTATGATTCAATGCAATAAAATAAACACATTTAAAAGGTAACAGATCATTGTAAACTTTGGTTTATTTACATAATGATTTTAATCGCTGGATGTCTGGCCACCGAGATGTTGGCTTTCAGAAACTGTGGCCCCCTGAGCAGTTTTGCTGAATAGCCGTGGCTTAAAGGTATAGTTTCCTCAAATGATTGGGATGGCCATTGATTAATCAATGGTGGCCAAGGCCACACTAGCCACAACCTAGAGCCATCATTGCACCTGGTTGTGGATAAAAGTGCACTCTCTGCTCGCCAGGATCTGTCACACTGCACAGCCTTGGACAAGAAAAACTTGCCTCTGACAGAGTAACTCCTACACACTTAAATATCTTGCACCAAAAACTAGTCACTGCATGAGTGCAGCTACAGCATGCGCTCTCAGGACATTATTACCTGCAGTGTTCCCTCAGTGCAGACCCAACTAGGCAAAAGAACCTTCTCCTACTCCGCTCCTGTTTCCTGGAATATCTTGCAAAAAGATCTGAAGCTCTCGACCTTGACCTCTCTAAGTGGCTTTAAACATCTGCTAAGTTCCTGACAAAAACCAGTGCAGACATGTTCCTGTTTTTAGTTTTCTACATTGCCTTACAACCTAACTGTTTTTGTTTCGTTTTTTTTAATACCATTTTCTTTCACTTGTTCTTCTCAATTTGTATGCATCCTTTTATGATTGTCCACTGTTGTCATCACCCTTTGTTAAAATCAGGTCTCTCTTGTAAATGAGTCCCCAAGGCTCAATGGGATTAATCTGTATAAGTAAAGGTTGAATGAAAAACATTAAGGTGTAGTTGCATTCCCTGTTCAATTCCACTCCTGAAAAATACTCACAATCTACAAGCATTTACTATTCAGTTCCATCAGCAACAGAAGACACGGACCGCTTGTATTAAATTGTGACACAGCTTAATCTTAATTTGGAGTTTGATTCACTGTTTGTCAGTGGATTTTGCATCATTAGACGTGTGGTTAGATCAGATCCATTTCAGAATCAGAATCAGAATCAGTTTATTATTGCCATGTCAATGAACGAGGTTCACAAACTAGGAATTTGCTTCGACATAAGGTGCAAATAGTAATAAAGTAAAATAAAGTAAAAATTAAGTAAAAATTAAGTAATCAGTAATTTGTAGTCAGCTTTTAGTTTTACCATGGAGGTAGGAATGTTCTGATTGAGTAAATGGGCCTGGAGGATTACATCATGGTTGCTGCTTTCAACTCACAAATGACTTCCTTCAGATTTCCCTAAAGGAAAATAAAAATGTATCTTTGTCAACATTATCTGGAGACGCTGGTCTTGGGTTCAGGTGTCTTTCTTCAGGAGATTAGTTAGATTTCACCACACCCCAACATCTCCTGGTGTTTGTTAACGGATGGTAATGAACAAAATATTACGTTTCACTGCCAGCAGAGTGTTTCCATGACAACAAGCCACTGATGTCACCGCCATCGAGCGACTCTCGTCGAGCTGTACTGGCTTTGGCGTCCCACATTCCTCCTCCTTCCTTCCGAGGCGGCCGCGGGCCCCCTTTCCCCACGTATACACCTGCCCGTCTGCAGAAAACAGGAGAAGAAGAAAAAACTGGTCACTGGATTCAGAATGAGACCTCCAGGAGGCATTAATCCACACAAATCTTTGACCGGCAGCTCTGTCTTTCAACAACCACTCTATCTGTAGGATGTCTGAACCGAACAAAGCCTTCCTATTGAGAAAAGACAAAGGAGTTGTTGTTTTCTCCCCTGGGAGCCAACTGCTGCTACAATACAACATTTTATTATTTTACACTCAACTCTAAAAACTACATGTGCTCTCCATCTGAAGGCCCACGTGTTTAAAGGACAACACAAATGGTTTAGTACCTTCATCCACTTAAGACAAAGCACACCATATGTCCCGTGTAGCCACTAGACAGACAAACAACAAACTTTGACGTCACGTGAAGGAAACTTCCAGAATCAGTTTTAGATTTGTTTGAAAACTTTGAAACTTTTGTCTTAGAATTAAAGGGATCTCTGACTACATGTACATATTGGCCTTAATATGTTATCTCTCTTCTACAAAAAAATAAAAAATAATTATACATGTTTATCGCAATGTTCACTAAAGGACATCGCTGTTAATTTACCGGAGAAATACATTCTGAGGCGATTACAAACATCGGTTGTATTGGAGACTAAAACACAAAAGGAGCTGCACAGAAGTCTGTTGGAGTCAGCCTCCCCACCATCACTGACATCTACACCTCCAGATGCAGGAAGAGAGCCACCTGCATCATGAAGGACCCCACTCACCCAGCACACACACACTTTTTGCCCTGCTCCACTCAGGCAGAAGGTTGCATAGCATTAAGTGTACACGTTCTCGTGGCACAAAAAGTCTTTGGAGCCGGATTGATATTATTGAGCCGTAACGCCGTTACAGCTGCGATGGGGTGACGGATCTTACAGGGCAAAGTAAAAAGACGCCGTGCCTGAAAAGCTGGCTTTCGTTGTGTATTCATGGGCGTTTTCAGTGAGGTGTGACTTCCTCTTGAGTCAACTTCACATAACTTGTGGGCCTGAGTAAATAACAGGACAGAAGGGGAAACATGAAACCAAAGAAAGTCTTTCTAACAAGTAATCCCTACTATTATCTTTTTCAGACACTTAAAAACAACAATCTGACTCCAGGATTCTTACACTTTGTTCTTTTTGAGAGTAGAAACTCTTCCACTTTCACATTGGTTACAGTTTTACTAAAATGAACAGAGTGTGTGCAGTTATTTCATTTTATTATCTGCACGCAAAATTATTTGTAAATGAGTCCTTGAGGCTCAGTGGGATTTACCTGTCTAAGGTTGAATTAATTGAATGAATGAATTTGTAAATGGACGTTTTTCCCTCAATTACAATTTTTAATGACTTTTCATGTATTGTGGAAAAAAATCATCCAGGTGAAATGTTTTTAATTTTCGGTTAAACAAAACCGTTTTTTGCTCAGAATTTTACTAATTCTTTTCACCTCAGTAAGCAAATATGACTAAATTCATATTATCAAATTATTTTTGAAGCAATGTTTACTATGCTCTTGAACTAAATCTCATGTCAAACTCAAGACCCGAGGGACAAATATGGCCCTTGTTAACATCTAATCTGGCCCCCAACATATTTTTAATGTAAAATATTTTTTATCTTACCTAAACCTAGCATACATTATTTATTGCAGATTTCTCATGACAGGAAGAAGTAAACATTTCATGCCCCCCAACTCTCCGCCGCAACTGTAAATAGTATGATTTGTCGATAAAATTGATATAAGTACACCTCTGCATAACATTGCACAGTAGTGTCTCGCTCCATCGCGGTTCGTTTATCGCGGACTCGCTCCATCGCGATTTTTCAAAACAAGATTGGACATGGTGACAAACAATTGGCTGATTGATGGATGAGTCGCACAATTGTCATGGATTTTTTATTTATTTAAAATAAATGATTTTATATTATTTAGAACCTCTGTGCAGCCCACCGTGCAGGTTAAGCTTCCTCCTGCAGCTGATCAGTTGATCTCCATGCAGAGCGGAGAAGTGTACGCGGCCAAGAGCACTTGCAGGAAGCAGAGAGATGAAATTATGATATAAATTAGTGCATCATTTTGCCTGAAATTTAAAAACATCAATCCTTATTTAAACTGTAAACATTTTTTGAGCATTTGATACTGAAAAATTAAATTTAATATAATCAATAAATAATAATAAATTCAAATTGATCAGCAACATTAACTCAGGAGCACAATATAAACACTTTGACCTACAAAACAAAAATGAATAAAACAATTTGTGCTGATTTTTTCAAATCAAAACGAGGAAGTCAGGATTAATGGCTACAATGAGCACGTTTTGCAGTGCACAGCTTTTCAAAGTGGGGTTTGAAGCATGATACTGCAACTCTCAGCTCCTGCTCAGTGTTTAGCTGGACCTGTATCATGCTGTCTGCTGCCAACATTTATAGACTTAGTAAACATATTGGTCTGTCCTTGTCTCCCACCGTAGTCACAGTGAAGTCAAGCGCTACATACGCTTTGTCATATTTCCTCGTCTTAGCTTTCGGGAGACTTAGGTTTGTCTCATTATCGCCGTCTTTCTTTTCATCCCTGTTAAATATTTTTCCATGATGTCTCTTAAGGGTTTGTTATCTGCACCTCATATCTCCTGCTTTGTGCTTTGTGCTTGTGTTTGGTGCAAAAAAAACCTACTCCCTGCGGCAAAAAAAAAAAACATGTTCCCCCTGGCATCGCCCCACAACCCCCCCCCCCCCCCCACCCCCCACCAAGAGGGAGCGCCCCACTGTTTGAGGACTGAGTTAAAGTATCAACTGAAACTTGTCTCTGGTTTAAAATGTTTTTAATTTTGGCCCCCTTGTGTCCCCAAGTTTGACACTCCTGACTAAATGATTAAAGTTGTTACATTTTCATTGATGAGATTATGAAAAATATAAATAAGATGCATCGTCTTATATCGAGGAATAATCTGTGTTCCCCATGTCAATTTTCTGAAAGTGGATACCCTCATGGTAAATGTCAGGAGCTGTGTTTTCTGTTTGTTTCATTGTTTGGTTTGTTCCCATGTGTTATCAGCCGTTATGTCTTTAGTTCAGCGCTCTCTCCTCACTCCTGCCACGCCCGCACACACACACATCTGTCTCTTGTCTCATTAAACTCAGCTGTTTTCCATCTTCTCATCAGCCTCAGCCCATTTAATCCCTCTGTTTCCATTCACTGATCAGCTCACTAGCTATGTTTACATGGACATAAATAATCGGATTAAATGGCCATTTGGAATAAAAATGCGTCACGTAAACGTCCCATTCGGATTATCCTTTGTTGATTCAGCTTAATCCGAATGAATTTGTAATCTGAATGAGGGGTGGTTTATGCCGATTCATAATCTGAACGGTGCGCATGTAAACACTTAATCTGATCCTTTTATTCCGATTGTGGAAAGCAGACAAGACTGCGCATGTGCGACCTGTCTACCTCACGTATTTTGGTGAGTGACACAACATTTCTACTAGAAACTTTGAAAGAGCTCAAAATAATCTGTATTACCTGTAGCTCAATCAGAGAGTGCAGTAACATCTCCACCGTCATTAAAACCTGTCGCGGGTCCATTTTGGGCGCTCGGGTTTGTTTACGTTCATCCCAGAAGTAAACCGGAAGTAGAACTTCTTCTTCTGTGTTTTTTTTAAGGAGAGTTTACCACTCTGCGCATGTCAGTACTTCTGTTCAGAACAAAGCCCGCTGCATGTAAACGCTTGTTGTGAATGGATTGTGCCCATGTAAACGATACATTTGAATTATTTAATCTGAATACATTTCAATCGATCAAAGAATTTTGCGCATGTAAACATAGCTACTGTGTTTGCTTCGTGCCATCTTTATTTTGAAGGGGGTACGTTTTGCTGCCACGCCAGCATTTTGTTGGTTTTTGATGGATGAAGTTTTTATGTGCTTCTTGTGTCAGTCTGCATTCCTGGATGTTACGTGTCCCTGTGTCACCCTTTGTGAATGAGTGTGCGCCTATAATATGGGTCCTCCGTTCAGTTGTCCGATGGGACTTTAAAGGAGCAGGCCCCTCTTCCTAAAAGGGAGCAAGGGGCAGAGAGGAGAGTCCCTCTTTTGTTTATTTTAGCCGGGGGCTCCTAACTCCTTTTGTCTGTCTCAAAGTGTCTATTAGAATATTTTATTTAAACGTTACAATCCTCAATTTTTTTTGTTCATAAGGTTAAAATGAAAAGTATCCTCTAATATTTTCAGAAACGTTGAGACTTTTTTTTAAATACAAAATAAAATCAGCAAACATTGATGTTTTTGTGAGAATGTTTCAAAAGCATTCACACTATTGAGGTGTTTTTTCCTTGTATGTTTTTCAGCCCATAACTCGTTCTGCAGTTTTTGTGCTAACTCAACAACTCACTTCAAAACGTTCGGCTCATTCAGGACGTTCCTGCTGTGACTTTTGGTATTTGTGGAATTTTTACTTTTTGAAATATTGAGCTTTTTCGGCCATTTAATCGCTGGAAATGAATGCAACTCCCCAACGTTCTTCAAACTCTTGGTGCTGCTTAAAACCTTTTACGGCTCATTTCAGCTTTTTTGTTCTTCGGCTTCTTTTTGCACATTTAAGACTTTTATGCTCCTTTCAGTTTATTCAGTTACTTTTACAGGTATTCTTGGGATAATTTTAGCTTTGCTAATTTCAACCTTTTGTGCTCCGTCTAGTCTTATGCTGCTAATTTTAGCTTATTTTTTTTTGCTGCTTTTTTGTGCTAATTTTAGCTTGCTTTTGCTCAATTCTGTATCCTTGTTGCTAATTTAAGATTTTTTTTGTAATCTATTCAGCCTCTCTGCCTATTTCAGTTTTTTCTACACATTTCTGCAGTTTTTCAGCTGCTTTCCTTTTTTTATTTTCCTATTTCCAGAAAACATCAGCTGTTCCAATTCAACTCTGAACAGTTGAACGATGAAACCTTTTCAGCTTGGTCAGTCGTAAAAAATCATCTGCTCTGCATTTTCACAGGAAATGCAATTTTTCTCGTCTTATTTTGTTTTCTTAATTTGATACTTATGCAGACTTGTAAACAAAAGCGAAATTAAGTTAAATACTTTTCAAATCTGCGCAGCAGCCACACAGCCCTTCATCTATTTTCATCGTCTGATTAGACATCAGCTGTAAGTCGAGGTGTTCTCCCGCAGTTTGGGCCAAAGATTTCTGAGCTCATCATTTGTTTACATCAGTCTGAAGCAGTCCTTCTCAAATAGTGGGGCACGCCCCCCTGGGGGGAACCCGGAGCAATGCCAGGGGGGGCGCATCGTGCATGTGACCCCGGGGAACATTTTGCAGCAGGGAGTAGTTTTTTTTTTTGTTTGTTTTTTTCCCACCAGCTTCATATTGTCAGTGTGCGTTTGGCAGCCATTTGCTAAAATCTGGCAACTCTCAGGTTTAATAATAAAGTTATGAACAAATATGGCTGTCTTGTCGTTTGGGGGGGCCATGCTTGAACCGTGCCGCTTCCCTCTGCAACTGAGAAACTCAGAACCTCATCAGCTGGTGACGCTCTGGACGCTTGTCACCCACAGCACGCATGCGACAGAGAATAAACTCAAAGCGAGAGCGTTACCTGCCCCTCCTCTTCTTAAACAATTTATTTATTTTTTAGTTTGTCAAAGCACAATTTTTGTGTTTTGTTTTTTTTAAATACAGAAGTAATGTTTAATAAATGTTAGGTCTCTATTCTTTGCTAACAAGTCCTCCGCTTTGGACGCATTTCACCCACAGCACGCATGTAACAAAGAGTATAAAGTCAAAGCGAGAGCGACACCTGCCCCCTCTTTCTTTTTTCACGTTGACAAAATGTTTTAGTTTTATCGATTGTCAAAGCACAAGTTTGTTTTTTATTTGTTGTAAAAACAGATGAACAAATGTTAGGACTCTATTCTTTGCTAACAAAATATTTTATGTCAGTAAACAACTTCTCAGGTTCTTCTCTTGTGAGCGCGTTCCCCTGGACCCCCCCTCCCCCCCACTCGCTCACTCTGCACTCTTTGTGATGTCTCTGTTGTTGCTGCACTGAAGACCAGGTCCAGGTCCAGGTTCAGGTCCAGCTAAACACTGAGCAGGACCTGAGAGTTGCAGGATCATGTTTCAAACCCCACTTCAAAAATCTGTGCACTGCAAAACGTGCTCATTTTAGCCATTAATCCTGACTTCCTCATTTTGATTAAAAAAAAAGTAAAAAATCAGCACAAATTATTTTATTCATTTTTGTTTTGTAGGTCCACGTGATTTATATAACACTCCTGACTTAAAATGTTGCTGATCAATTTGAATTTATTATTATTTATTGATTGTATTTAATTTGATTTTTCAGTATCAAATGGTCAAAAATGTTTACACTTTAAATAAGGATAGATTTTTTTTTTCAAGCAAATTGATGCACTTTAAGCCTTTTCTGTTACAGACTAAAAAACAATGTTAATAATCTTTGTTGTAAGTTGATCTATATTTCTTTCTTTTTAAAATTTAATGTTAATAAGGATACAATGTTATGCAGAGGTGTACTTATAACAATTTTATAGAAAAATTATACTATTTACAGTCGCGGCGGAGAGTTGGGGGCGGCAAAATGTTTACTTCTTCCTAAGGGGGGTGTAACAAAAAATAATTGAGAAGCACTGGTCTAAAGAAATGGTGCCTAAATTAAGAATTAGTTTTTGCACATGACGTTTCCTAAGTATTTCAATTCAAAAATAGTTTGGAAGTCTTTTGGAATAATTTGTAAGCTTCTCCACATGTGTCCACCAGGTGTGCTGGTAAGGACAGCTCACCTGATCTGATGGCCAGCGTGAAGGCGTCCCCACAGGCGGCTGCGGTGATGTCCTTCAGGTCAGACACGTGGTGCGGCACGCGGCTGCTCCGCGGCGAGCTGCAGCCCTTCTGACCGTGCTGGTTGCTGCCGAAAGTGTAACACTCACCACCTCCTGGACACGTTAAACACAGATGATGTAATAAAGTTACGCACGGCCATAAATGAATCAAAGATTTGACCTGTTATGAACCTGTAACGGCAACAGAATGGGCTGTTCCGATGTCGACGTGAACGATCCTGTCGGTGCTGAGCGGGGCTGATTGGACCGGGTTGTAAGAATGAACTTCTTCTACTTGATTCGCAGGAGTCGGTTCGTCTTTTGCTGTGATCTTATCCAAACCCAGCTTGTTGAATCTGACGGCAACAAAACAAGAAAACACTAAAACTTCAATATAAAATGTAACTTTTTTTAATGTACACAGTAGATTTAGGCCGTCACAGGAAATAATTCTTATCTCTGCGTCTGTAAGAAAACTTTTTTTTTTTTCACACATTAACAGCTGATTTTACTGCTTCATTATATCATGCAAACCCACTTCCAGTCTAAATGAAAAGAATGAACAGCTGGTGCAAACACGGAGTCATTTTTGGAGAATGCTGCCTCGCAGGTTTTGCGGGGTAAAAGTATTTCTCGAAACTTGTAAGCCCACGCCGTCTCACGCACGTTTGAACATACAGTGAGCCTCCTGGACGTCTCATTTCATCACCTTCATAGAAAACAAACAATGTGGTGTCTTCTCTTTAAAGGTTCAGTGAAGTTTTATTCCCCTGCATTGACCGGCTGCAGCCATTTTGTTCTGAGTTGAGAAATCCTGTTTCAGCTGTCACTGTTGCAGCTTGTTCCAATCTAACGACCTCGACACACTTCCTGCTATTTCAGCCGATCATTTGTCAAAAACATTTGGATGATTTAGGAGATGTGCTAAGACTTCTGTTCTCTGAAACTTTTATACTTTTCAAGACTGTTATCTTTATTTATAAATATGTTCTCCTTAGAAACACAGTGAGATCTGTTTGATTCCTTCAGAAACACTGTTCTCTTTTAAATCAGATTTAGGACTACTGCTCTGTTTCTGGCTTCCTAATTTACTTTTAGCTTTCAGCCTCTATTGTGCCATTTTTAGCTTTTAGCTACTATTGTGCCACTTGTAGCCAATAGCTAGCCTTTTGTGACTGTTAGCTCTCTGCTAGAATTATGCTAACTTTTGATTTCAGTGGTGCAGAGGTTAGAAGTGAGCCTGCAATCAGAAGGCTGGAAGTCTGAATCCCCTAACCGTTACGTCAAAATTGTGTGGGAAAGGTGAAGCACCCACACCTGCCTCTACTCTTATTTGCACCACTCTGGGCACTTGAGCAAGGCCCTAAACCCCTTCATCTGCTCCCCCGGGCACCCTAGATGGGAGCCCTCTACTCCACACATGTAGGATGTGGTAGCTCGATGTCTGTGGTTGTGTCAGGAAGAGCATCGGACATAAAGACAGTTGCCAAGTCTTCGTGTGAGTTCACTCGCTGTGGCGCCCCCTGAAGAAGGGAGCAACTGAAAGAGAAAAAAAATAACCCTTCTGCTAGTTTTAGCTTTAGATATCCTTTTTAGATTTAAGCTAGTTTTTGCTCATTTTATCTGTAGTTTTTAAGCTAACTTTTGGTACTTTTAGCATTTAGATAACCTCTTGCGACTTTACGCTAATGTTTTAGCAGTTTTAGCTTTTAACCGTCCATTTGTTTCTTTCAGCTAATGTTTTGCGTCTTTATGCTTTTAGCTAGTATTTGCTCTGCTTAGCTTTCAGCTTGTGTTTTACTTCTTTTAGCTTCAACAACTCTTGTTTCATTTTCTTCAGTAATTTTCCGCGGAGTCTTTCAGCTCTCTGTGTTCAAACGTTTCATCTTGTTACCTGTTGCTTCCGCTCGCCATGATGCTGCCCTGAGAGCTGATGATCATGGAGCAGTCCACACCACACACCACCCTCTGGGCCTCGAACTCTGCAGGTAAACACACCTGCTGCGGACAGTTGTGGGTGTCCTGCGTCCCTAAACCAAGGCGTCCTACCAGAAAGACCCAACATTTAAACAGTGTGTTTAGTGGCTGTGATAAATCGATTGTATACAAAACAAAACAACCCAAATAGTTTTTAAAACAAGCAGTTCATTTGTTTTACCGTTGTCTCCTCGTCCCCACGCAAATATTTCCTTCTCGTTGGTCACAGCGAGAACATGGGATGCTCCACAGGACACCTGGACCAACTCGTAGCCCAGAAGAGCCTCCACTATCTTAGGCTGCAAATTAAGACAAAAAAGAACAACAAATGTGACGACTGCTTTGGAGCCTCGTTTTCAAACATGTCCAACAAGGCTCAAGATAAGAAACACCGGCAGAACTCAGAAAGAAGGAGTTTATAAACTAGCAGTAGAGATCTGTCTCTTCATGAAGTGTTTTCCTGTTTCCATACTTGTGTTACATCGTTGAAGTTCCCATGTCCCAGACAGCCGTTGCTCCCACTTCCAAATGTCATGACGATGCCCCTGTCTGCAAAGTAAAAACAAAAACAGGAGATTTATGGGACTGAAGTTTAGGGGGTTAGATCAACAGAACATCAGTAAAAGCTAATCTGCATCACCATGAGGATGAAAGAGGGACGAGTGAACTGAGAGGAAGACGGTTAAATCTGTGTTTTCTGCTTTGAGATATTGGAGATGCTGACAACAGCCCCCAAACGGTGCAGCAACTAACAGAACGTCTCTGTTAGAGCAGGCAGAACAGAAACAGATTTTCTATAGTCAGGCTGAGGGGGAACAGCTCACCCACCTGTCATGCAGGTGGTGAAGAGATCACCACAGGACACGGACTTGATGGTGACACCAGACTGACCCTCGAGGAAGCGAGAAACGAACAGCGGCTGCATCTGTTCCACCGCGCCAGGAAGACCTGGTTCACCAGACACCACCGACGGAGCCTGTGAACACAAGCGATAACAAACCTCACGATAAAAGAAGAATTCACATGTTCAACAAGCGACCTATAGCTCTGTGTAGGTTTTCTCTGACATCTTTAGCTTTGAAGTGACTTCATGATCCAACAAGGGCAGCTTTGGGTTGCTGACTGCAAACAGGTGCACCAACATGAAACCTGAATATTTCATTAAGATTTTTTACACAAAAATTTTTCCAATTGAATTTCTTTCTTTCTTTGACGCTACAGTCTAAGCTGCTGCTGCACTGGGCGAGGAAGGAGTTTTAACTCTAGAGCTCCGAACCTCAAGAAACTCTCAGAGAATGAAAACTTGAAGAGTCCAAACACACCTCCCAGGTTATCAGGCGGCCGGACTTGGTGACTCCCATCTTCTGGGTGCGCCCGAGAGACACCTGGAGCACCTCGGTGTTGAGCATCGGCAGACGAAGAGGCGCGGTGATGCCACTTCCCCACGTGTACACCGAGGACAGCGGGAGGGAGTCCAGCTTTCCTGATCCCAAACCAGTTGATCCATCTGTGTCAGTTCAGGACCCGGTCAGTGTCAGCCCGGCTGGTTTTACTAAACAGAAATAACGTGTTTTACCTCGAGACCTGTTGATGGGGACTCTCCCTCCTGGGTGGCCCTGAGGACCAGGTTGGACAGCAGACAGAGGTTTCTCAATTCTAGACAAAAAAAGAAAAGTCACGTGACATCATATTAAGTTTGTTACTCACAAACGAGACCTGATTTAAATCGTAACTGGAGATACTGCACTTCCTTTTGTTGAAAGCTGCAGAAGAAGCTGAAACCAGCTGAAATGGTTTCATCGCTCAACTGATAATGCGACTTGAACTTGAACAGCTGACATTTGTTGAAATCAGGGTAATAAAAGTGGAAAACAGCAGAAAAATGACAGAAATGTGTAGAAAAAGAGCAGAGATGAAGATGAATTAGCTGAAATGGGCCGAAACAGGCTGAATAGATAAAAAAAAATAAGAAATTAACAAAAAAGTAAACTGAAAAGAGCAGAAAAAAACTGAAATTAGAAGAAACAAACTAAAAGTAGCATACATAGTTTTGAATAGTTTTAAAAAGCAAAAGAGGCCAAAATTAGGGGGAATAAAAAGAAAAAAGCTAAAACTAGCAGGAAAAAAAACCCCTAAAAAGTAGCTGAAAAAGCAGAATTTTGTAGGAAGAAGCTAAAAAGGAAGAAAAATGCCAAAATTAGCAGAAAAGTAGCTATAAAGGGCTTAAATGAACAGAAAGAAGCTGAAATGAGCAGTAAAAGTTTGTTAACAACAAAAAAGAATTTGACGGATGTGTGAAGAGAGCTACATTTATTTACAATGAGAAAAACATGGCAGAAAAAGCTAAAACTTTCAAATAGTAAAAAAAACTGCACGAATACCAAAACCCATAGCAGGGATGACCTGAACGTTTTGAGATATGAATTGTTGAAGTGGCACAAAAATTGTGGAACGAGTTACTAGTCGGGAAAGCATAGAGCAGAAGAACGGCTGTCAGTCATTCTGTGTGTGTGTGAAGGCCACACCTGCGCATTTTCACACTGCCTATGTCCGTGTAGAGGTTGAGAAGAGGACGGATACAGATGGGCAAAGCCATGATTTCGTTGAGCTGAGGCCGTTTAGACGGGTCCAGATTGAGCATGGTGAGGACGAGCTGCCTGAGCTCCGGGCTGTACCGGTCTGAGATCGGAGCAAAGCTTCCGCTCATGATCTTTAGAACGAGGGCAGGTAGATTCTGAAAAGAAGAAGAAAATAATCATAATAATTGAAAAAAGGTCCATTTGGAGAGATTTGTGTAAACCACTGTGGATGTGGGTGAAAACATTTATTAATGATTTGTGTGGAAATACAGTCCTAGGCATCTTTTTATGCTTTCATACATAAAAAAAAAAAAAATCCTCAAAACTTGACAAAAAAGTCCCACTGTGAACGTAGTGCAGCTTTGTTGTTTGTTGGGAGTGTTTCATATCTGGTTGTGCTCAGTGAGCGTTCGTGTTTTATTCATTACTAAGATCAATACCACTGTGGAGGCTGAATAAATAATGTCTCAAAACACTAAAAACCACAGAAGAATTTGCTTTTTTTTAGTACAGCAGCTTCGAAGGCTCTCTTGAGGCTGGCCAGCTCATACAGCACGCAGCCCAAAGCCCAGATGTCACTCTTCTGGTTGTACGGCTTTCCTTCACACAGCTCAGGGGAGATGTAGCACGGAGTCCCAACCACCTGAACGGAGAAAGCAGCAGCTGGTAAATGATGATGTCATCCCGACGAGCTAGTTCCAAAACAAAGGACTTCACCGTGTAAGCTTTGCTCTTGCTGGCGAGGATTTTGGAGATGCCGAAGTCTCCGATTTTGACGATCATCTGGTTCTTGTCTAGCAGAATGTTCTGCGTCTTGAGGTCGCGGTGCAGGATGAGTTTGTTGTGCACGTGGTACAGAGCGAGCAAGATCTGCACGAAGAAGTGAAGGATGGTGTCCTCGTCCAGGAGGGAATTACAGCGCTTCTGGATGTACTCAGCCAGAGTCCCACCTGCAGGAGGAGAATATCAGAGATGGAAACAAGAAAGTAAAGATGGGTGCTTCAAATCAGAACAAAAGGTTACTGGGTCGGAGGAGACGAGGAGATCAAAGCTAATTATCAATGAAATTAGCAGGATTTTAAAACAAAGCAGGAGCTCTCCCTGTCTGAGCGAAAAGAAATCCAGAAAATAAAGTTTTAGCCTCATAAATAATTATTAATACTCTTCATCTGCAGCAGCTTCATACCAAATTATTAATAAGTCTCAAAGTACGGATCTAAAGTAAGGAAAGTGATTTATTTTACTGTCTGTAAAAAAAACTAAACTAAATGAAAACAACACAGAATTTATTTTAAATATAATTGGGGAGTGGTGGTGCAGAGGTTAGAAGATGGGCTTGTGATCAGAAAGTTGCAGGTTCACCTCCCGGTACCGTCAACATCAAAATGTGGGTGGAAAAGGTGAAACACCCACACCTCCCTCCACTCTCATTCGTCCCACTCTGGGCCCCTGAGCAAGGCCCTTAACCCCCACCATCTGCTCCCTAAACAGGTCTCTCTTGAAAATGAGTTTGCATGGCTCAATGAGACTACCTGTATAAATAAAGGGTAAATGAAAAAATTAAAAAATATATCAATTTCCTGTTTGAGTCTGGTTTAGCTCAAGGGTCTTCCCAGGCCTAATGAACAAAAGTGGGTCCTGTAATGAGATACGAGCGCGAGCTAACCCGGTGCGTACTCCATCGCTATCATGAGGGCTTTGTCTTCCAGGAAGTTTTCATAGTACTCGATGATATTTGGATGGTTGAGCAGTTTGAGCACTTGACACTCGTTCTGGGCCGCCAGGCGTTCGTCTCGTGACATCTGCTCCACCGGGATCTCCTTCAGGATGACCAAAGCGCCGTCGCTGCGTCTGCGGCACAGGTGGACAATCCTGAAAGTCCAGGAGAAGGAAGGAGTGAGAAATTATGAAAATATATAAAAGTGGGATGATTTGTGGCGGTTTAGGTTTGAGGATGAACACAGAGAAATGTGCAAAATAAAAACAGAAACACAGTGACAATGTTTATTAATCCTCTGTTAGAAAGAGAAAAAAAAGGTGTGTTATGATATACGCAATTTTTTTTGACGTGTCCAGTACTGTGCAAAAGTTTTCAGTCGTCCCTCATTGCTGTTTGTATTTTGCTTCTAATGAGTCAGACTTTCTTGTTATCTTTATGTCTTGAGTGACATTTTTCCTGGTTTGCAGCTCCATCATGGTGATGGCACCTAATTCAGTCTGTACCAGAAGATCTGTAAACATGAAGTCAGCTAGCTATCTTCTGTGTACAGGACAAAGAGTTCTGATGGTCTGAGATGAGAGGAAACCTTATCATTACAATGACGTGTTTCATCATTGAAGGCACAAATAACAGTAATAAAGCCCTAAACTGATTAGATAGTTACCTAATAACGTCTACACTAAAAAACGACATTAGTACTTGTTGGACTCGGGGCAGAGATTTTAGCTAACTTCTCAGTCTCCGCCTCTCCAGCAGTCGTAACATTCCGTAACATTAAAAAAAAACCTTCTGGTTTTACTGCTAAACTCCTAACAGTTCTGGATTTAATAAACAAATGCCTAATATAAAACAAACAAATAAAAATTATGTGAAGTTTTACCCGAAAGCTCCTCTTCCAACAACTTTGATTTTCTCATACTTCTCCATCGCTGCTGCGCGCTAACGGTTCCACCGTTTCCTGGCAACCGAACTCTGCTCTACGGCCAGCAGAGAGGGACATACATTTAAAAAGCGAACTAAACAAAAAGCTATCTCAACTTGTATTGAAATATTAGAAATTTACCAAAGCAATTACATGTTTTTCCCCCTCACGTCTATACCTTGGCAATCGAAAACAGTATTCTGCATTGCCTGCTGCTTTTGAAGCTAACAACAGAAAAGCTAGCTAGCTGCAAAGACAGCATTGGAATAAGGGAAATTTTAACAAAGTAAACCAGCGGCAAACGTTATATTTGTTTATGTTATTACTAGGGATTTATACTTCAATAAAATTAAAAGAATGAACAAACAAGTAAATCCAGGTTTTTAATGCCAGTACAATTTTCATTCTTTAACTGAGCTTTGGTCAGGTGTTCAACAGTGACCCATAAGAGACACAGTTAGTTCAGTAATTTATTTTAGACATTTACATCCTGCCATGGATCATGGTCACATCACATCTGAGCCATCCTCCAGCTGTGATGGAGAGCTCAGTTTTTGCTGCTCAACTCAATTAACCATCATTTAACGGGTTGAAAATCTTTGCTTATTGTAATAAATATGACTCAGGTGTGAACTGAGTTTAAGGTCAGGGACAGGGTTGGGTTATGGAAATGAATGGAAGTCAACGCAAAGTCCTTGTACAGACAGAAAAATCCACCTGTGTGTATATGCTTGTAATGGTGGATAATTTAAATGACACTAGATGTGTTTGCTTGTATTTTCTATTTGTGTACTTGTGCTTTTCCTACCTGCTGCAGAGGATATCTAGTGAGAAAAGTACAGTGTGGTGCAATAAAAACAAACCCATGGAGCTCATTGTGGAAAAGAAATAAGAGTATGTCATTCAATGACCTCAGTTTCAGCTTAAAGTCCAGTTAGTGATCATTGTCCAATGTCCGCCTTTCCATAAATATACACTGATTTTATGTTTTTTGTATATTCTAGGCAGTTTAATAAATGCACTTCAAATAGCTATAGTGTAGTTTTGAGTAGATTTTGAATAAATTTCCCGGGTGAGATGGGGGAACCCCTCCACCGCATGATGCTCACGTGTATCTAGCATCCCTCATTGCTATCATCAAATGTTGGCAGGTTTGCAAGTTAAATCATTGAAATATTTATTTGCAGCCTTTTATTTTCATTATTAATTTTGACAGTTGGAATAAAATCTGTTCGTGTGATACTTTGCAAACAGACAGTGTCGACTCTTAACAGTTAATGCCAAAGTTTTCAGCAGAGGTGTAGCATAAAGTGCAGAGGTTGGAGTGTGTGTTAGGGATAACTCTCAGCTACAACACCCACTTTTAACTTGGTATATGTAAAACTAACCAAATGTTAGCCATTTGTGTGTTGGCTAATATTAACCAACTCCAAAATTTGACATCTCCTATTTGAATAATGTCCTCCACAATGACATATATTAATAACTATTTCTGCCAGTTTCCTTATACTTTAGAGGCTTTTTATAGTACAGTGATATTGCTGCTAAATTCCTTTTTCCCCCAAAACAGTGACCTAACATTTAATATGTTACGATATAACTGCTTCGTCTTCAGTACCATTTCTCTGTTTTTCTGTGTTTACATGTAAAAATTGTTCTCTGAAAGTTAACTGTTGAAAAGGGGATAGTTGAAATAATAAGAAGTGATGAGACACGTGAGATTAGCGCAGCGCCTCGAGACTTCAGACGCTGCAGTCCTGCTTCCAGATACACTGTGATTATGAAGTGCCTTCCTGTTGTCTGCGATGAGCAGGAAGGGGTCTGCATGACTACTGTTTCCCCTTTCTGCGAGGTTGGGATAATAAATGCTTTGTGCTGTGACAAAGGCCTGCTCTGTGTGGTGAAGTATGCTTCCATTATCATCATCAAGCTGATATAAAGATGCATCAGCACAGTCTGCTCCATGAAACTGAAACTTTCTTATCATGTTGTACGGTTAGTCGCTGGTTTCACATACAGTGATTAGCTCGTCATCAGAAATATGATCTTTCAGCAAAGCAGCACCTTGAGGTCTTTAAACACACACACTCCCCAGACCAGCTCAGTGACATATTTGGTCCTCTGTCAGATTTGTCTCGCTGACAGTGACTGAGTGAAGCTGGCGCTGATTTTCAGGCTTGAACTGTGATGAAACTTAATATTTTAAAAGCTTGAGGAATTATCTTTTTAGGCTTGTGACAGGAAGTGGCTGGTTAGAGACGTGCAAACCTTGTTTCCCATGTGGCATCATTTCCTAAAGTATGTAAAATTATGTACCTCTACAACCGATTAATGCCAAAAGTTACCAGTGGAGCCACTGAGGTTGGAGCTGTGGGTGCTTCACCTTTCCCAACCTATTTTGGGGTAATGGTCAATGGATTTGAACCAGCAATCTTCTCTACCCTCTGTTCCACCTCTCCCCCAAGTTATCTCTTGAGCGTAACATCTTCCAACATTCCAACAATTTTCAGTCAGATCATCTAGACAGTTTCTTTTTTTTTTGCTGAAACGTTTCACCTTCCATCCAGAAGGCTTCATCAGTCAAGGAAACACACAACACAAAACTGATTCTTCCCCCAACAGCTTACTCCAAAGTGGAACAAACCAGTAATGTTGAAGATGAATGTACCAGTTAAATGTTTCAGCAAAAAAAAGGAACTGTCCAGATGACCAGACTGAAAATTGTTGGGATTGTATACCTGGATTATTGAGCATGGACTTTTTTGATCTTCCAATATTGCATTAAATAGCTCATAACGTTATTTTCAAGGTTTGACAACAACTCCGTCGTTTGTCGACAGAAGAAGACCAACGTGCGATGTGTATTCCTTTAGATGTTGTTCAGTCTTTAGGTGTCGTTGTGTTGTGAAAAGATAAATGTATTATTTAATGGACGTGGACGGCATCTCAAGGCACAGTTGTAGTGAGGAGGGTGATGGCTTTGCACTCTGGGTGTCAACTCTACTGTATGCAGATGATGTGGTTCTCTTAGCATCTTCAGGAGAAAACCTTCAGCGTGCACGTGAATACAAGTATCTGCCTCTTGTTCACGAGTGGTGAAAGTGCTGCGTTGTCATTGTATGTTCCCATGACGAATTAGTTCTCTGCATTTAACCCATCACACCTGAGATACACCCAGATGGAGCAGTGGGCAGCTATGTAAGCACCTGGGGAGCATGGGTGTCTTGCTCAAGGACACCACAACATTTGGGCATGGCGGGGAGTTGAACCTGCGATTTTCTGGTCCCGAGTCAGCTGCTCTACCTCTACCCACAGCGGCCCCATGAGTGGTGTTAGGATGGAGCAGGAGATGGACTGAAGGATTGGGGCCTCATCCTTAATAATGAGGGTGTTGCTTCGGTCCATAGTGATGAAGAAAGAGATGAGTCAAGAGGCAAAGCTCTTGATTTACTGGTACTTACTTACTCAGACTTAGAGATGAGGTGAGAAGCTTCGTCTTCTGGGGGGAGCTCGGACGCTGCTCCTTTGCATCGAAAGAAGTGGATTGAGGTGGTTCTGGACTCTGTTTAGAGGTTTTTCATGGCACATGCCACTGAAATGAGGATCCGGGGCAGACAGAACTTGTTGGAGGGACTATACATCCTCTCTGGTGTTGGAACACCTCGGGTCACCCAGGAGGAGCTGGAGAGTGTTGCTAGAGGGAGGTCTGGGTTTCTCCCTTGGACCTGTTGACTCTGCACCCTGGATAAGCGGAAGATGTTATTTAAAGATAAATCTCATTAGACAGATAATATTGTTTTACTGCAGCTGCACTTGAGTTACCATCACTGAAAACAAGTATTAACATCCAACTTTCCACGTATTTTCAAAACTCCATTGTGTAAAAATGTGCTTACAACCAGGTTTAAAGATTAAAGACCTCATTATACGTAACATCTTCTATATTTTTGTTCATACCAGAAAGTTGTTGAAAAGTCGACAATGTGAGGGAACGGGTACTGGTGACGGGGAACATTGAGCCGGTGGGTGTTACTCTTTAATTAAACTGACCTGGAAGTTATTGTTGGCACTGACAGCAAACAAAAAGGTTACGTAATAGATAACGTGTCAAAAACTGAAAATTTATTCTAAACAAAATGATAGTTTGTGGCACAAAATGGTGTAAACAATGCAACACTTTATAGCTGTAAACCACTGTTAAATAGGAGAAACAATTTAATCTTGAGATTTTAGTGAATGATGCTAATTTAGTGCTGCAGGAAAAGAAAAAGTGCAACAACAATCTGAGAGATTTTTTATTATTATTAGTTTTTATTTTTAATTCCAGTGAACAGATATGAGGACAAACACTTGAGACGTCAAATAAACTCTTTGAATTATCGTCAGGCTGTTTCTGTGTAACACGTTTGTCTTGTTTCGACAAACTGTTGACCTCCGTGTTTTCAGAGTGCATGTGATGGATGAGCAGGCGTTTCAAGAAGTCCTGACATTCTTTCATATTTTTAACATTTGTTAAAGTTTCTTCATGTGGTTGAATAATTGTGGTCAGATTTAAATATAAAAAATACCCCAAATCAACGTGATTCAGCTACAAACCAGACACAAATCTCAGACACCTTCAGTGGCATCAAACCCGCTGCCTTGTTGAGTTCAAGGCTCAAAGCTGCGAGGAGTTGTGTGTGTGTTTAAGGCTGGCGGGGGGAAAAAAGAGTGAAAGTCTGTCATTACCTGTCTCTACAACACAAAACCCCACAGGAAACAAGAGCTTCAAGGTAGAGTTACACCATGATGCCTGTGGATGTGGGAGCTTCAGGGTAGAGTTACACCAGGATGCCTGTGGATGTGGATTAATTACAACCCAGCTCTGTGAATTCCTCACATGTTGAAGGACTGTTTGCTTTGACCCCGGTCCATGATGTGTATTCATTCAAGTCAGTGGAAGACATTGAGCTCTGGGTGTTGGAAACCACTTTAAATTGTGTCATCTGGACCAGTTTCTTTAAGTGAGAAATGTTTT